CCCCAAAACCCCAAAACCCCAAAACCCCGCATCTTTCAGGAAAAGTTGAATCATCAGGAAATGAATGAGGTCTTTATTTGAAAAATTTAGATGAAAACGAGGCAAATTAATTCACTATCAAGCCCTAAGAGGCATATTTTCTACATATTTTAAATATCCACTAATAAATAACTAATTTTTTTAAAATAGTGACTAAAAAATACTTTAGAAATATTTGAAGATAGATCAAACTTAAAATGGTATATTTTTGAATGACCTGCCTAAAGCTCCACTACTAAAATATGAAACCGCAGTCTTAAAGAATTCATAAAGAAGTCAGATATTTCAAGATCGATAAATCCTTAATTTTTCACTAAAAGAAAGTATTTTAGAAATTGTTCTAATCAAACATAATACTCTGGCGAGGTTCATGCCGAACCTTATGCTTGTCAAGCCTCAACTGCTTCGCTAAATTTCTACCATACCTAAGAAGCCTGGCTTCCTGTATCTGTTCTGGAGAGAGTACTGGAGGCTTTATTTCAGGCTCAATATCTTTAGGTTTCTTCTGAGATTCCTTCTGCTTCAGATACGGGTTCTTCTTGATTTTAGCAGAGTCTAAAAAATAGCTTAAATACCCAAAAATTGAGATAGAAGGAAACATTTCTGAATATCTAAAGGCTAGTCTGTATAGTACCTTGCTTCATCCCGACTAGTGTGTGTCTATTTGTGATTAAAAAGTCAACAGCGTCATCATAGGGGTTATTCCGGCCCTGATGTGTTTTAGCAAGCTCATTGTATTCCTTAAATAACTCAATGTACGCATTTTGTTTATTTCTGGCCTTTATCTTCTCAAACTGAGCTGTTATCATCAATTGTTTTCTCAGTTTAAGGATTTCTGCATAAAATGAGATGTGAAAATATGTAGATGAGGTGGACAAATTTCTTACCCTGTGAAGACTTTTTGACTAAGTCAAAAGACTCATCTATGAATTCAAACTCAATTTTTGGCAATTTGTTGTTGATTTGTGAGCTACGTAGAGCTGGAGAGGCAGAATCTTGATCTTGGTATCTTCCATCTATGAAACTATTAAAACCGGGCATGAAATTATCAATACTTGTTATGCCAGCATTATTACTATCCTTACTATAAGAGAGTTATAAAGAATATACCTGAACTTAGGTATTTGAGGCATACTATCTTTCCTGAATATCTTTTTACTGTAATTTAGTTGGACAACTGCACTCTTATTTGCCAATCGTAGCCTTTCTTTCTCTTCTTTCTGTCTTTTACTTATAATTTCTGAAATATAGGTCACCAAAATACTTAGGTAGGCTAATACAGAAATAGAAATTTTTAAGAAAATTACCTGAATTTTAACTTTATTATGAGCACTTGGATATCACACAGATGATTTATTTAGCACTAGGAGACAAGGAGTCCTTTGAAATGGACTTTCTCTGTGACATAGCATCGAGAGATCTCTTGAGGGATGGGAAGAGTTCTAGCTCGTCCATTACATCTCTTTCTATAGCTTTGGTCTCTGTCATTCCTATCTTGCTCAGGTTATATTCATTGTTATCTTCCATGGTTCTTCACAGATCTCCTCTTTTGGACCGATCAAGAGGTTGGCCGTAATTTTCAAGGTTGACAGAATACTCTGATGATATAATTTAAGGAAGGAAGCAGAACAGTAGAGAAGTTTTAGATATTGCTTTGAATGAAAATATAATTTGGCAAGACAATCACTGTTTATAAAGAAGCTATTAATCAGAGAAGTTGTCAAATGGCTCAAGAGTTTGATAGCCACCTGAGGATGAAAAAACTGAATAATTCAAAAAGAGAAAACATTAGTCTCATTAAATAGAATTTACTGATATGATTAATGAAACATCACCAATCTCTCAGCATAATTTTACCCCATAAATTAGCAAAATTCTCATTCCCTGCAAAACTACACTAAATCAACCAAACCACCATTCTAACCCCAAAAAGCACATACCATTTCTCCCACAGGCCTTTACCTTGCCTGAACTCGGCAAACTATACCCCTGCAGGCCTATCCTGCCCTTATTCTGGTCAACCTCACTCCCCACAACGGCTGAGCTCAAAGATCAGTGCCTTGAGTTCCTAATAAACCTATACTATTTCCTTCCAAAATACCTTAATTTCTTCTCCCCCAAAGGCTTTATAGAAACCCTTTGGAGCCTGAATAGAGAATCTCCTATATCGACCCTTCTCAAGGGCTGATATAGTCTTATCCTTGGCTGTTTCTTCTGAGTGTTCTTCTCATTACTTTAGAGTCTCTTGAACTCAGTAAGCACATTGATCAAGCTTGAAGTGGTAGAAGGATCCTGACGGCGATTAATGGATTGGTTTACCTTATTAGCTGATTTTTTAGAGTAGGATTTCGAAATCTGATAACAGAAAGCTTAGTGGATATTGGGGAGAATTCGGAGAAATGAGTGGAAGTGAGGGAACTTACTTGGTAAGTATAGGAATTATGGTCCTGCCTTGTTTTGTAAATTTTTGGGTTTGAAATGAAACTTTTGGGATTATTTGTTCCGACTGTGTTCATATGGTGTATTCTAAAGTAATTTAAAGTCTAGAGTAAATGATTTAAAAATAGGGAAAATGAAAGGCTAGAAGAGAGTCATTAAAAATGCTGAGGCAGAAGGTGGGATCTCTTAGAGTGGAGTTTCGCTTTCCCTTATTTAACATTAATGGTGACGGTTATTTTCCTAAAGAAATAAAAACATTGAAAAGTTATACTCTTTCATTTACTGTTTGAGTTCATCCCTTGAATACTCCCTTATAAAGGAGTTGTAAACAGACTAAGAGGAGGACTCCAAGGTTAGGCAACAAAGAAATCTGGGTTGTATTTTAACTCAGATTCCCACCATTAATAACTTGTTTGTCAATGTTATGAATAAAAGATAAAGTCTGTTTAGTTACCTTTAAGTACTCTGAATTAAATTCATATTCATTTTGAAACTCTAGTCTTTTATCTTTGGCACTATCAAAACTATTCTGGCTCTGAAATATCAACAAGTCATCATCTAAAAACGAATATAATTAACAATTTTGAGCTAAACTCAAAATCAAAGCCATTTCTAAACACATCAAATATTTTATGACAGTATAGAATCCCATGAGCTTCAAAATCCGTATAAACATGCCACATCAAACTTACTATTAGACTTTCTACACGAAGGAAAACAACTCTCATTTTCCAGATTCAGTGAGTTCATTTCTAATATTTTTATTTTATTTCTCAAAACATATTTTACAAAAAGGGGTTTTGGGGTTTTGGGGTTTTGGGG